ACAATTCACATAGAACATCAACATCCTCTTGGCGAAGCGACATCGTGGATTAAGTTTCTGCACTTCCATGAGTTTTGGACCACGTTGAAGTGAACTTCTCCATGACTCTTTCGCTTGATTCTATGGCTGCAGGTCACCGTCCCGCCTCAGCAGCACTGTAAGGGGATATTTACGTTCACACCAGCAGCGCAGCAGCCAACAGAAGCTGATTGCGAGTGGTGTTTGTTTCCAATGAAAGCACGTTAATTCGGGCTCGGCCGCAGTGTAAACTACCTTGGCGTTTTACAGATGTCGCCTGTTAAAGTGAATCACTGTACCTGCCTGTTTGCCCGGCCGGGCTGTTCTGATGCTTCGCCAGAAAGAGTACACAACACGAGCCAAAAGGGCTATTAATAAGCCCTTCCTTTTCTAATACTGTAATACCTCCACGTGTGTAATGTCTGCTCTGGTCTAATTATGTCATGTCATTTTTAGCTTTCGCAGAGAGACGAATACAGACAGCCTCACAGCCTCGGTCTGAGTTAATTTTAACTCATCTTAGGTATCATTATCCCCCAATATTTTTCCAGAAATACTCTGTTGCAAGAAATAATTTTCAGTGAAAACAGTCCACTGAGAAGTTCATCTGCTGTGACAAAGCGAGGAAGCGGTGCGCCGTATCCAGCAGCACTACATTACACACACACCGTGTTAATAGCATGTGTAATTTTAAGCATGTTCCAACACATGATACCTCTATTATGTTTGTTTGAGAGCTTGTGATAACAAAGTGAGTCCACTTGAAGGTGTGTGGTCCTGAGTGGTAGAGAGAGAAAGTGTCTGGCAGGGTGGGCCATCGACCACAGTCCTCAGGGCAGACCTTGGCCAGAGCTCAGAGTATGGCCAAGCTCTTCAGCTACACACACACACACACACACACACACACACACACACACACACACACACACACACAAGTATAGCAAGTGTAGTATACGGCCACCGGTGGAGAACCAGTAATGAATGAAATATTATATTCCACATTATATTCCAGCCTTTAACATCATTACCTTCATGTAAAAGCATTTTTTGACAGTAAGGAGCACATATATTACAAAATTGTCTCTACAGCAAAATGAAGACCCAGCTGCCAGCTTGGAGGGGCTCAAGCAATGTTTTTTTTTTTTTTTTTTCATGAGATGTTTTATAGAACTACCTCCACTGCTTATATAATGTCAGCAGTGGATGGATTCATATACTATATTTATACACACTGCATTATTAGATATGTTACATCCATTAAAACACATTTCACATGAACATCACAATTGGTTCTTCTCACAACACAGTTGCTGAAATCCTTCCCATCAGGCCAGAGTAAATTCAGTAAATACCATTTTAACTGATCAGCTTTCTTCGTCAAATGTCCCGTAAACTTTATACTTTTTAAAACAAAATCAAAACCTTTAATTTACATGTTTTCAGGATTAGATCTGGGGTCCTGAGACTTGCTTGTAGACAAAAGTGGAGGTTGTGGTCAAGGTTTCAGTGACGGAAAAGGTTTGTTGTGGTTTTCTTAAGGTGGGTGAACCGCTGACCTGACCAACAGTTGGGCAAATAAAACAATATTTTGCCAACTTTAACTAAACTTTGTTACTGTATCAGGGGAAAACATCACCCTTTCCTTTCAGTTACAATCTTTGCAGCTCTTAAAGAATTCATGCAGATATCTGAGACTACAACATCATCATAGTTCAGATTTTCACCATCAAGGTTGTTTATCACATGCCATGCCACCCAAGAAGTTATGTTCCCTGCCATATGAGTTGGGTTTGACATTTATGCTTTATTTTTCATTCCATGTTTTAGATTCAGTCACGATGTGCAAATTATGTTCCCATCAAACTGCGTGTAATTCAGTGTGGCTCGACACAGCGCACTGCACTCTGTCCTAAGGTTTAATGCTTCTGACAGCTAAGCATCCATTTGCAGTAACCTTAAAATGTTTATACATAACCTTAAATGTTATTTTTGAAAGACTTTAGTATCAATTCCCAAACTAATCCAACTGTATAGCATGTCTCTGCTATTACCCTGGTGATCCAAAACATATACAGTCTAACTATTATTAAGGAGGGCTATTGTTGAAATGTTTTGGATATAATTAGTATGAAGGTAAACTGCATGGGTGACATGATTGATTAAATCTCTGGAAGGAAATAGGTACTGTGTATGTTGCAGCATCTGAATAGCCCGTCCCTAAGGATCCTGTAACATGCGCTGCAACTCAAGAAGCATCTACTTGTTTTAGACAGCAAATATTTACAAAGCACCGCGCCAAGGAAAACGTGTCACTGCACAAAAATAAGGCAGATGGCAAAGACTTGTGGAAATGGTGTTGTGCTGTGCCGTGTGGAATATGGGGCGGATTGTTAGTATTTCATGATTCAACTTTTTTTTTCTGATCCTATATTTAGTTTATCAAGATTGGAATAAATAAGGGCTAAGGATTCATAGCTAAAAAATAAAATGTTTAGTTTTAGCATTTACATGGATACAGCAGTAGTCTTATTTGGGTTGTGGTTACTTAATTATTACATATTGCTAATGTTTTATTATTTCTTTATATTGCCTGAGGTACGCAAACATGAGTTACAGTTACTAATTTGTTGATTGACTTAATGACTTAATGTTATCTTGTAACTTTCATGTAATTTTTTCTAAGTTGTAAAAACAAAATACTTGCTTCTTAAACATTTTAACATTACTCTAACATTACTACATTTTAAGATACAAATAAGATACAAATGATCAAATGTCACTTTTAGATATGCTGAATTTATGTCCAAAAATACACCCAAACAATATCTGCCTCTTTTTTTTATGTAACAGCTGACCCTTAAATAGTTGAAACAAATAACGGGAAACATATTTTCTCACTCATCTGTTGTGGTATTGCCTTGCGAAAGGTTCTTGCTTTTATTTGACCAGGTTTTAAGATTTCTGCTGCCACTCTTGTTAGTTTGTGGTGCTCAGAAATTACATTAGAAAATCAACAGCAACAAGAATAATCCATAAAACACAGCATGAACAGTTTTCATTGGGACTATTTCTTTGGTAGAAAGTAGATCCAATGAAAACTGCTCACAATGAGGTCTGTGGATTATCCACAGTTATGGGAAATTGTTCCTAGAAAGACGTGTTGTTGAAGTGTAATTTTCAGTTCAATTCTCTTCAGCTCCATTGTATTTTGGTGGAGGTACAAATATCAGACAAGAGTATCTCAAAACCCAAACTACCTGCATGCCCAAATACCATCAGATGCAAGTGATAAAATATATTTTTTTGTAACGTGGGGGCACCATCCTTTTAAATCACAAGCTCAAACTGAACAGCAGTGATAGATTTATGAAAATTACTAATTAAAAGATTTCCACTGGCAGTAAGAGTAGCCTGAAGCACTGTTCTTCTCTCTACTGCTACGTCTTGCTTGCCCACTGTCTAGTGACAAGATGACCGAGACACTTTAACACTTTCAAACCTGACTGAACTCCCAGCGCCATTCCACACATTCCTGTTCTTCTGTACTAACACCCCCGTCTGCGTTTTTGATCTGTTGTAACAAACACCTGTGATCGCTGATCAAAGACGAGCCGTGACACTGTGCTGGGACCCGTGAGGGCGTGGACTGAATGTGCATATGTGGGAATCTCTGTGTTTGTGTGTGTGTGTGTGTGTGTGTGTGTGTGTGTGTGTGTGTGTGTGTGTGTGTGTGTGTGAGTGAGTGAGTGTGAGAGAGTGTGAGTGTGTGAGAAGTGTGATGATTCATCGTTGATTGTCATGAGTTGCCTGCACTGCAGTACATGTTGGCAGGCCATTCTTAGAGGGTGTCTGTGTTATAGTGTGTGTTAGCGAGACTGTGAGAAGGCATCTCTTTCACAGAGAAGACAGGTGGCCATGATTTACGGCCTCTTACAGGAATCGTCTGCGTCTATGAGAGCCATTTAAAGCTCAGCACGGGCTTGCATGCACACATGCACACACACGGTTATTACAGTAATAACACAACAACAGGACTTCTGTCTGTGACACAGCAGCGTGATGAGTGTGAAAGAGAAAGAGAACAAATTCAGGCTGCAAAAAGTGACACTGAAGCAACTCTTCAGCCACACTCTTCTGTAAATAAGCTGTTTTCACACCACCTCCACTTTCACTCACCCAGCCTCCCTCTCTTCCCCCATTCTCTCTGCTGCACATGCATACACAGACAAACACACACACACACACACACACACACGCACGCACGCTCGACACACACTTACACACCCAGTCTCACACCGCCAGCCAGCCAGGCAGCCAGCCATTCGCTCCTCACTCACACCCTCAAATCTTACCAAGCTCAGCTCTCCCTGCTCAGAGGCAGACAGGAGCAGCACGGCAGCCTGTTAAAGGAGTTGAAGGAAGGAGCAGCAGAGTCAGAGAGACAGACATAGAAAGAGAGGAGGGAGGGGGATGAAAGAGTGAAGGGAGAGCAGAGCAGAGAGAGCGCTGTTCCCCATATGCTGAGGAGGCATGGGCGGTTGAACAAGCTGCCCCCACTGAAGCCTCCTGACTCATGGGAGCGTCAGACCCCGATCCCCCAGAGAGCCTGGAAGCGCTGCCGAACCACGCGTAAGAGAGAAGGAGGGGAGCCAGAGAGGAGAGAAAAAAGTCCGGGGAGAGGAGAAGAGAGGAGAAGAGAGGAGAGGAGAGGGAAGAAAGCCACAACGGTAGGCTGTCCCACTCAATTGCTGTGCCGTGATGACGTCAGAGGGCATGTGACCCAGGCTCTCCAGTGACGGCACATGGAGGGCAGGAAAGAGACGAGTTTTAAAGCTGGTGCCTTTTGGGTTGTGTGAGGGCTCTGCTCGCCTCCCAAACAACCACAGAACCACAGACGTGCGGCTCGGGGTTGGTGTTTGAGGGCGACCTGGAGTGTAAATGGTTAATCGTCGCGGGCCAGCACCAGTCACAAGGACGGCGCTAAGCGAGTAAGTACGTTCCAACCACACTCGCCAAGCAAGCAAGTCCGACACCATCTGATCTATCCGCAAAGGCGATATTTGCCTCTGCAATTTTTTTTCTCTATAAAACCAGACCTGGTTGTTACTTGTGGTCATCCAAATAGTTGATACGTAAAAGCATGTCTTGTGGATGGCTTTTCCATTTTTTTTCTTCATGACATGCTGCGTGCTCTTGGTTTAGGACGTGTCAAGGGTCACGGAAACCACAGAGGAACAAAAGTGGGGCTTGCTGCAACCAGAGGCAGCTATGGCATCTAACAGCCTTTTCAGCACAGTGACACCATGTCAACAAAACTTCTTCTGGGGTGAGTACTGCTTCGCTGGTCTCTGTTGTGTCTGGAGTTGGGTTAGGGGCTCGGGTCATGGGGAGGACTTGGGGTCAGGTGTTGAGGTCTGGATAAAAGAATGAAGGGGTTTGGGTGAAGAGGGTTAAGGATGTTGGATCTGCTTGAAGGATTTGGGTCCAGATGAGTGAAGGGGATCAGCTGAGGTCACTGAGGACCTTACCATCAAGGTCCAAGCATTTGTGGTGGAAGAAAGACCCAGCTACCATCATGGCTTTTTGTGGTGCGCAAATACAACGACAACAAACAAAACAAAAAAAAAAAAAAGAACCTCTCCACATTTAGAGATTCGAGTATTTACTCTACGTGATGTTTATAAATATTTCTGTAACAGGGAGATGACATGTTTGTGCAACGTACCCTTAGATTTACAAAGCGATGCCATTGCGGAACCAAAAACAAAAGCATGGGTGATATTTTTGACAAACGTAAACAGACACTGCACAAGAGAGTTTACAGTTGGGCATTGAAACAAGATGTGGGGATTACTGGATTGTGTGTGTTGGGTGTCTGTGTTATGCGTAGGGAAGAAGTATTGATTAGTTTGCCAAGAAAGGTCTGTAATCGCTTCCTGAAATTGTTCAGTGGCACTGCTGTCATTAATTAATCAGTGTTGATTTCTGCAGTCTCCTGGGAGCTTTTAATTGGCAGACATAAATCCACTTTGAACAAGAAGTTGCTCCATGTTGACTTTGTTATTATAAATTCATAATTAAATCACTGTGATAATTAATTTGAACTCATAATCGGTCTATCCTGACTTACTGCTTTTCTGCAAATGACTAAAATAGGAAACTATGATTTTTAATCTCTGATCTAATTTGTATGTAAAAAAAAACAAAAAAAACAATATGAAACATTTTCTTTCAATAAAAATATGTATCTTTTCAAAGAATTGCACAATTACACTCATCAGCTGAATTTATTCTTCATATTTATTTATTCTTTATTTGTCAAATCCTATACTCAACATCCTTCTTGGCTCCCAGAGTGGATCTATGGGAAATGAGACCACAATAGATTCAAGAGCTCCGAACAGTAGCAGTGTCAACTTATTATTTTCAATTACCTGTGAAGGCCAACATGCATGTTCCAGTTTGCCGCCTCTGTTTTGGTTTTGCTGTATTCTGTTGTGACAATTTCTTTACACAATCTAATTAAATCAGCAAAATAAATTATATTTTAGGTTTACCAGAAGAATTTTCAAATTTAAACAAACATTTTTGTTCCCGTGCGACACAAGAAATAGACAGGCTGAGTTTAATAGACCCACCACCACCACCACCACCACCACCCCTCCCCTCTCTCTCTCTCTCTCTCTCTCTCTCTCTCTCTGCTCCGGTCCATAGCCTCCGCTCCCCTGTCCAAATCAAATGTTTAAAAGATGTTTTTAAGAAGTCGCTCCGTGGTCAGACACAGCTGTTCTGGGCTCCTGCTCCACACAGAAGCAGGGTGGCTCCTAATACGATCTGAAAGCCCGGAGAGTGAGAGTGAGCATCTTCTACCAATCACCACCACCTATTACCATGTTAACCCCCTGACCTCTCGCTGTGTCTCTGGGGTCGGAGCGCAGGAGAGGAGAGGAGCAGCGCAGCAGGAAATTGAAAGCATGCTGTAGTAGAGCCAGAGAGGGAGAGAGGAGCACATGTGTGCAGATGTTCAGGTGGAGACACTCAGAGGGAAGATAATCATCGATTCTCGTATTAGATATTGTTGAATGACATTGAGCTGCAGACCACTGCTGTTGCCCCTGTTTGTGAACATCTGGGCAGTAAATCTGTCAGTGCAACCACAAAAAGTCCCCTTGACACCACAATGTGATTTTGCAAGACCACCAGCGCTTTCTGTTGTATTTCTAATTTAGAATAAATAAATAGAGCGAGCTGTACTGTATCAGGACTGGTATAAATTAGGAATGGCATCTGAAACATTTTTGTTTTGATCAGACAAAAAGAGGATCTGATTTTCACTGAAGGTAGAGTTAGATTTTCAGAGTTCATGAAACTGAAATAGGAAGAAATTGAATTAATGATTTAACAGAGTTTAGATTTTAATACATATATATGTAGCTGTTAATCTTAAATCTATTTGCTGGACAAACACATGGTATAAGTAAGCTCAAGTCTTGCCCTTTTTGTTTATTTTATATATTTTCTTCAAGTCCTCCTGGTTTTATGTTTCTCCTGGATCATTTTGTCCGGCGTCAGCCAGTTTGCTGAGGACACGAGTTACAAAATATTGTTTTGTTAGTTAAAAAGCCACATTACTCCATCCCGTCTTTAGATTTGTATTTAAGGACATTTTTAATTTAGGTCTGAGTGCACATTCCCAGCGATAAATTGAGCCGACTTGAGGGAGCGGGCAAATATTCCAGATTGAGAGAAGGGGGCTCATTAAAATTTGTCTTGGCATTTACATCAAGGAATTTTCATTTAATTGCCTCAAATACATTTTTTATAACTCTTCATACTGGCAGATCAGATGGGGAGGGCAGAATAATCTTCAACATGTGTGGCACCCACTCAACCACCATGCCTCTCTGGGGAACATTTAAGTGCCTATTTTCTCTATTACAAACTTAATTACATATAGACAATTAAGTCATGGGAGCAATTATCGTTCAGTAAAGTTGTGCAGTCAAAGTAGAGGAAAAAAAAGTGCTTACACAGACAGACCCAAATCAACACGATCAAAAGAGAAGCGGGTCGATGTGGGTAAATATCTGAAAACTCCAGGCGGAAAACTTTCCCCAAAGAAAATCTCAGATAATTTGCAGGGAAACCATATATGTATTTGAGAAAGGCAGCTTCTGTTGCATAAGTGTTGCCTTAGATCTAACCACAGGCCTGCTTCTTGGAGACATCTTAAAAGTGAACCAGACATCCTCCCCTCCTCCTCCTCCCCCCCAGCCAGGGGGAGACGTGAAGCCCACTCATCAATAGGTAATTTGAAAAAGCCAGGGGGAAAAATCCGAGCGCTTCACTGGCTGCTACTGTGCAGAGAAGACTCTTCCCTTAACTCCAGGCTCAAAGGAACTCTATTTAGCAATGCTTAATTGTACCTCTGAGGCAAACATGTTATTTAATCCCAGCAGGGTCATATTGATGGAGTAAAATGGTGCTGTGTGTGTTTGCGAGCTGTACCAGCTATTAGGACTTATTAGTGCTGGAGGTTCACATTAGTCTACATAATTCCTGAGGGTAATCAGGGAGGTGCAGTGTTAATGTGATCAGTGTTTAATCAAAGATAGATTAATTGGTCTGTATTTTCACTCAAATGTAGTGAGACTGAACGGTAGGTTGATTATGGCTCTAAATAGGCTGTAGGCAGTTATTAAGGCCTAAATGAGAGTGTCATGGGAACACTATAACCTGTGATTTTAATGGCCTGAAATACGCCTTTCCCACTGCTGAAGATGTGAAAGTTGTGAGTGTTTTTCTTAAAGTTTGAAAAAGTATTTGCATGGTCATAGTGCACGTTCTGAAACATTATTCTGAGAATAAAAAAAACAAACAACAAAATTCAATCAGTGAATCAAAGAAAGTGAGTGCAGCATTTTTCAGAAAACAAGAGAAACCCTGACTGTGGGGCATTTTTTAATCTAGTGTCAACTGGCAAACTTTCTTGTCTCTGAACTACTGATTCATCTACAATACCTGCTTCACCTCCTTCCAAATTAAGCAGTGAGGAGTTATTGAAACATGCGAGGAAAGGGGTGAGATTACACCCACTCCTGTAATATGGAGACTGCAACAACAAACGCAGAGTTGAGTGTAAATACTCACAAGGCACTGTGTATTATCGCTTGTTTTATCCTCATATTCAGTAGCTGCGGGGCTAATTACACTGTTATGACAAGGCAACCTGCCAATTGACTTGCTTACTGTAGGTTTCTGCCTGTTTAAAGTGTTGATAAAAGACTCACAACACAATCTTCTCGAGGGAGCGATAAAATCTATTTGTTGAACGCTGCGAGTGCTCACATCTCTGCTTATTAACTAAGCTCAATTTTCTCATAAATCAATGCAAATGTTTGATATCTTTGCAGTCTTTATCTCAAGATACAAGTCAAATTAGTGAGTATGTGTTTTGATAGCTCTGCAAACTCGTGCTATGCGTAGCTATGATTTTTGAATGCACCATAATTACCAGGTAGCTTAATGCCATTGCGTTAGCCAGTGAAGCTTTTAATGCAGCGCTGTGCTATTTTCACACTTAACAAGATCCTGCAGCCCTTCATCCATTTCAATTGCATCATGCTGGGCGAATTACCGTTATCCGATATAAGCCCTCAGAGAGGAAGTAACTACCTAACACTTTGAAAATTGGTCTATCTTGGAACCGGTTCACCCTAATGAAACAGAACACCAGTATTATAACCCAGATTCATATACCTCTTTCACTCCGCTTGCTCTGTTTCATGTCCTGCCTTTTCTCTCTTCCATTCCACCATTCAGGTTTTATTTTCGTTATTTCATTCAGGAGATGGCTTTAAGCAAAGCTGATACAGCAAAGTCAAACCACAGGAAACCTGAACAACATTGTTTAACGTTCCCTCCCTGACCTGCGAAACGGCCGAGGCAGCTTCGCTTCCACACTCCATGTTTCTATAAGGGGGAAATATGGAGTGTTGAGCCTCCTGGATGTTTGGGTTCGGCCTGTAACGATGTGAGTGAGCGCACGGCCACAGCACCTACACAAGGCCTTACCTGTTCTGCCCCATGCCGGAGAAAAGGGAAGGTTTTTCCCCTTGTTAGTTTAATCTTAAAGGAATGCAGTATCCCCTCTGACTCAGGCCGGACTCCCAAATATATAAACCTACTTACCAGCAGGTCATGAAAAGAGCAGCCCGTGTTGGACATGTTAGCCGAAACACATAATGTGCCAGAGTGTAAACATAGAAGAGGTTAGATTTTGCTTAATTTTCAAGAAGGTGAAACAAGATGAGTGACGGGGCATCA